AATATTTGTATATTGCTACTTTATGCAACATTTGTTTGGTATCTGGTAAAGGTTCTTTTAATAGTGTTAGAAAACTATTTAATATTCTATAGTCTATAGCTATTTTCTTTGTTCCGTCTTTCTTTTTTATTACTACATACGGACTGCTTCAATCTGTATTTCCACTGTACATTATCTCATTTTTTAGTAAATCATTGCACATTTGTTTTATTACACTTTGTCTTCAGGTATGTATTTTCTTATTCTTTGTTGTTTTTGGTTTTGAGTGATTTTTGTTTCATCAACCTCTGGTTGAAATATAAAGTTTGCTGGTTCTATTACTCTTGGGTCTATATGTGTTGCTAATTCTTCTTTTTCTCTAAATTCATCTACATATTTTGTTAAAATATGGCCAAGTAATTCCCATACACCTTTTCCTCCTATTCTTAAATATTGTTGTTTAAAAATTTCTATTCTTTTCTTCTCAGTTTCTACTTGTTTCTTAAAGTCTGGAATTTTTTGTAAAAAAATTGAATTATCTTTTGCTTGATTAAAATTTTTAATTTTGATTTTTTTACCATTTGCTATTCTTTGTCCCTTTTGTATTTCAAATTTCTTATTTGTAATATTCATGATCATTATATGATCATCATTTGCTATTCCTGGTTGCACTATTATCACTTCGTTTGCTAATTCAGCAGGGTCCCTATATATATATCTTTTTTAGAATTTTTAATCCTTATATACCCTATTTCATTAAGATATACTAGTGTTTTTATCAGCTCTTATGTGGTGTATCATATTTTTTCCTTTACTAACAGTTGGTAGTATAATATATCTTACTTCTAATAGATACTATTCTTTTATTTCTTTATAGAAGTCGAGATTTACATCAGTAATTTCAGATAAATCTTCAGGTATTCTATACGCTGGTTGTGGTTTCAGACTATTATCTGTTGCTGTTCGAGCATCAGCTAGATCATTTAGTTCTTTTTCTATTTTGGTAGTGTTTTTCCATGCCTGTTCAGGACTTTGGTATTTATAGATTTGTTTCTATTAGTCATCTGATAATTGTGAATCTTGTGGTACTGGTTAGGTAGCTGGTTGTCCTCTCCAGTTTAGTTGAATTGTTCTTGACCACCTTGTTTGTGATTGATGTGGTTGACTATTTGATAGTTCACTTTATACTAATCATTTTCATCATATAACTCTCCTTGTGTTTGTTGGTTTCTTAATTCTTGGTTCAATGCTTCTTCTATTTCATCATATTCTTGTTCTTCATTAGATGTTAATTGGTAATTTTGGTTTCTTGTATCATTTTTTGTCATAAATTTCTTTCTCTTCAAAAATCTTTAATTTTCGAATTTTTGGATGAATTTGTTAGGTTTGATGTTCGTGATTTATTTCTTTTATATCCTTGATTTCTTTCTTGTTCTATTGGAATATATAGATCATCATTTCCTTCTTCTGATATTTGTTCTTGATATATTTCATGTATTAGTGGTGATAAATATATTGGTTTATTTGATTTGTTTAAATGTATTAACCCTCGTCTACTTAGTGCAACTATTGGTTTTACTATGGTGTTTTTAAAGAATTCTCTATTGGTGAGTTTGGTGGTGAGCTTGGTGAGCTTGGTCTTGGTGTTGGTATTTTGGTATATTGGGTTTATCTTGTTCATATACCCAGTCTTTGTTCGTGCATTTGAATCTAAATACTATGTATTTTCCTGGTCGTTCTTATCTTCATTATTACTTTGTGTTGTTTCTGACTCTATTATTATTTTTGGAGGTGGTGTTCTTGGTCTATCATCATTTGGTTTATATAGATCATGATATGGTTTTTTTGGTAGAAATATTATTGGTTTTGGTTTAGTTCTTATTTGTTGCTATTGTTAGAACATTTGGTTTTCTATCTTGTTTTCATCTTCCATTTTTCCTATATTTACGTATGATACTCCCAGTAATTCTCGATATTTGTTTTGTATTTGAATTCTAGTTGGTTCATAATGACAGAATTCTATTGATTCTAATAATTTTTGCATTATAGGTTGCCTCTCATAATCATATAATTGATTGAAGTCTTCTATATTTATGTTTAATGTTGGTCCTAAATCTGTTGCATAGGCTTCTTCTATCTCATCTACTATATCTCTATTTTTCCATAGTATTGCATTATTGGTTTCAGTTAATGCTTGTATTGCCTGATATAGATATTCTTTTCTTGTTTTAGCCTTTTTCGCTTTATGTAACTTTGCTTTTGTTATTTTTTCTATTTCTTTGAGATGTTCATCAGTTTGTTCTTCTGATAATTGTGAGACGTATTTATAATGTTTTTCCATATTGTTAAGCCTTTGTTTTAATTGTTGGATTCTCAGTACTAGTTTTAGATCTTTTGACTCTTCTTCTTGCTGTAATATTTTGTCTAAATATAATAATTTTCCTTTTATAAAGGTTCACATTTTCATCTGTTTTTTACTACTTTTAGCTTGTTCGTTTGATGATGTTAAGCTTTTAGATTTTTTCTTTTTGCCCTTTTTATCCTCTTCTTCTTTTAGTTTGAAGAGTTTGGTGAAGTTATCTACTTCTTCTTGTGCTTCTTTTATAAAGGTTTGGTTAATTGTTTTTGTTGTTTGTTCTGTGGTTGTTCATGTTGCGCTGCAGCTATCATTCTCTGCATTTGATTTGCGAGACTTAATATTTCAGGATCTTTGAATTCTATTCCTAATATTTGTATTTTTTGATTTTCAGAATTAAATATGCTTTCAATTAATTGATCATGGACTTCTAAATTTTTTCTT